GGGGGGGGGGGGGGGGGGGGAGGATTTATTGTCCGTCTACCCCAGCAGACAACAAGCTCCATGGATATAAGGATTTTGTCTTGTTCAGTGCTTAATACTGAGGGCCTAGCACAGTGCCTGGCAAACAGTGGACGTTCAAAAGTATTTGTTGAATAGAGACAACAGTCTATTGTGCAACATGCAATTTGCCTCATTATACACAGAATGCTCCCCCCCCCGAAAAAAATACTACAACTAACCATTCCAACATTCAAACAAATTAGAGAGCTATTAACTATACCAAGGTACCTTACCAATAAAGCTTCCTTGTACCATTTTACCGCTTGCATTCATTCAGAGTGGCTTTCATTCACTCATCATGGTTTTATTCACTCATCACATGGCATCAGTTATTAAAACTCTGTGCGTACTTAAAAGGAAATCTTTAATTTATAGAGTTGAATGGGGCCTTTAAGAATCATTGAATTCTCAGGTGAGCGAGGAAAGAGGGTTAACATTTTTCTGTCCCAGGTGACAGTTAGTAGCAGAGCTGTCACGTGAACCTAAGTCCCTTATTTAGTTTAGTGCTTTCCCAAAAACCCGCTTCTGTCTGGTAAATTTTCCTGGAAGCAACGAGAATCGATACAAGACCCACTAATCAACCCAGAAGGCCCACACTTGTCCACTCTGGATACGTACAGGTAACGAAACGCCAACAACCTTACCCAGGCTCAAAATCAAGCTGCCTCTACTCAAAAATTGGGCAGCTACTACTGAAAATCAGAAATATAAGCAGTCTGTTTCTGAAGTTTGGGTGCCAGTACTTAGTAAACTTGCTAATTCATCAAATGAAGGAGTCGTTTTCGTTAGGGGACTTTTAGCCATAAGTTAACCACTGTCACTTAAGGGACAGCAGAATCCCGCTCCCCCACCCCACCCCCCGAAAAAAGGGGAAACTGGAAAAGAGCACTAGTTGAAGAAAACAATTTTTTCACGTGTTGCTTGACATAAACCCCTCAGTATTCTGACAAGTCCGAGACTTCCGTAAAGAAAGTACGGAAGGAATTCCCTTCTTCGGGTACAAATGCACACACACGCCCCGCCCCGCCCCCGAAAAGCTGTGTGTCCCCAAAAGGCACCACCCCGCGCGGGTCCCGGCACACACTTCGGAACCGGCTGGGCGCCCGCCCGCGCAGAGGCCCCGCTCCCTCTCGCAAGACCGCGGGCCCGCCGCACAGA